AAAATCATCAAAAACGAGCGTGGAAAATCATTAAATAATTAGCTTTCTCAGTCTTAAGATGGAAGGAAATTCATCAAAAATGAGCTTTTTGGGTCTTTTGATATAGGAAATTCATAAAAAATTAGGTTTTTGGGTCTTTAGTTGAGGGAAAATGATCAAAAATTAGCTTTAAATGCCTTTAAATGACTGAAAATAATAAAAAATCAGCTTTGTAGGTCTTTAGATAGAAGGAAAATAATTACAAATCTGCTTTTTGGGTCTTTAAATGATTGAAAATAATTAAAAATCAGCTTTGTGGGTCTTTAGATGAAGAAAAATCATCAAAAACGAGCGTTTTACACCTTTAAATTACTAAAAATAATTAAAAATCGGCTTTGTGGGTCTTTAAATGAAGAAAAATCATCAAAAACTAGCTTTTTACGCCTTTAAATGACTGAAAATCATTAAATTTGAATGATTGTGAGTGATCTCCTTCATGTAAAGTCCTTTAGAAACAGGCCTGTGTTTTGTGCTCCCGGCTATAAAAGCTGCGGGGCAGGAACGTGGCCCCTGGGGGGCCGGGGTGGGGGGGGCATGCAGCAGGTATTCGGAGCGGCTGGAGGTGAAGGCAGCTCCTCCTGATGCTTTATTTAAGGATGGAAACTTTGAGTGGAGAACGTCCAGCAGGTGACCGCTGAGCTCACACACATTCCAGCGGCCATCAACCTCTGAATATCAGATACTCTGATTTATCTGGACTTATTTTAGTCATTTCCATAATTAACTTATGGGAAATGTAATGAGTTTTCATTATTTTAGTGTAAAATGAGCTCATATTTTAGAGGGAATATTTATTAAACTGATTATGGAGATATTATAATGAGTTTTAAGTCCTTTTATTCTCCTCTCAGCTCTGTTTGACTGAACAAAAAGTCTAAAATGTTTGAGTTTCTGCCGTTCAGTGAGGCTGTTTCCAGCTCCTGAACTCATGTTTCTAACAGAGCTCATTCAGTGGAAACCAGAGCTGATTCTGAATGGAAAAAGCAGGAATTCAACCTCTAAATTTGATATATTCTGATTTATTTCAGTTTCTTTAGTTTCTTATTTTAGTTTCTTTTAGTAATTCAGATTCCCTAATTAATTTATGGAAAAACTCAACAAATCTTCCTTATTTTAGTGTAAAATGAGCTCATATTTTTCAGAGGGATTATTTATGAAACTGATGAAATAGACACTTTAATGTGTTTTATGTCCTTTTGTTGTCCTCTCAGCTCTGTTTGACTGAACAAAAAGTCTAATTTGATCCCAAATGTGGAGTTTCTGCTTCATCAAACTGAGCAGTGAGACTCTTTCAGAATCACTTTGTGTCTCAGGTTAAACTGAGTCTGTTTCTGCTCTGAAATCAATGTTTCCAACATTTTAACATCTATTCCCCACTTATTTATGGAGCATCTGATAGAACTGAGCTCATTCTGGAGGAAAAAGGCATAAAAAGTGCTTTTCTCTGGACTCTGGTGGGACCAGAGGCTCAGATGTTGACGGGTTGATGGGAGTGTAAACAGCCCCCCCTCCAGGGGGGGTGCATGTACATTTGTAGCCACGGCGTCTCAAACAAACAGAAACATGACACATGAGGCCTGAGAATGCATCCTGTCTGCACCCCCCCCCC